TTGGGCTGGATAGCCCAAAAAAGTTGGGCTGGACAGCCTTGTACACACTTGGGCCGGGTAGCCTTTTTCCCACTTGGGCTGGATAGCCCTAAAAGTTGTGTTCACTTGGGCTGGACAGCCCTTTCACTGGGGGGTAAAGCCACCACCACCAGCAGCACAGGCTCAAAGCTGGCTCTTAGGCTCCCAACCACCAGCATGATAGGTGAAAAGTTTGCTGGCAAAGGGAACCAGCCTCATGGCGTGGACAGGGGAGGTGAGCCTGCCAATGTGTGGCGCGACCAAATGCGGTCCATACAAACGCTTTGGCACCCAGACATGGTGCCTTGGCAAATATTATTTGTTGGGCTGGATAGCCCTTCCACACTTAGCTGCCCCCTTTCACACCTGGGCTTGTCGCACTTGGGCTGGACACCCCTATGCACTTAGTTTTCCTGAGGTTTTAGAACAGGGGATGGTTCTGTCAATTATGGGCTGGACAGCCCAGGGTTTCAGAAGGCAGGTTGTTCTGTTTCCATTGGGGCTGGACAGCCCAAACACTCTCTTGCATTCGTTTTGGCCCAGGGCTTCGGTGAGTGGCTTGGGAAGCTGTGCCTTGAAGGAGAAAGGCAAAGCGGGCTCAGCAGGGGCAGCATGGAGTCTGGCAGGAGCTTCCTCTTCAAGGTATGGAAGGAGTTGGACTCGCAAGGCCACTTTTTCGCATGGCCTGGATAGCCCTTTCAGACTTGGATACCCCTTTTCATTGGGCTGGGTACCCCTGTCACATTTGGGTTGGATAGCCCTTCCACACTTGGTGTTGGTAGCTCTTGCACACTTGGATATACCCCTTTCATTGGGCTGGGTACTCCTGTCACACTTTGGGCTGGATAGCCCTTCCACACTTGCTATGCACTTGGTTTTCCTCTCTGGTCAGGTGAGTTCCTCAACTTGGTGGAGTGGCTGGTTGAAAAGATGGATGAGTCGCTTCGGTCTGGCACTGCCACAGAAGCAGGAGTTGCAAAGGGAAAAGGACAAGGAAAGGGCAGCAAGGGAGCAGAAGAAGAAGGCAAGGGTGGCAAGGGAAAAGCCGAGGAGGCAAAGAAGAAGGAAAAGGCCAAGGTGGCAAGGGAGAGGGTGGCAAGGGAGGAGGCAAAGAAGAAGGCCAGGGTGGCAAGGGAGGAGGCAAAGAAGAAGAAGGCCAGGGTGGCAAGGGAGGAGGCAAAGAAGATGAAGAGGAGGGTGGCAAGGGAGCAAGGGAGGAGGTGGGAAGGAAAGTGGTAAGGGAGAAGGGAAGGAGGCTGGCAAGGGAGAACTGGAGGGGCAGCCTGGCTTGATGTCGTTGGCTGAGGAATGGAGGAGAAGGAATGAAGGCTGGAATGAACATGGGTGGTGGAGCTGGGAAGCGCAGGGATGGGATGGGTGGGAAGGCTGGAGCCAGCACAATGCCAGCTCAATCGATGAGCCTTGGGAGAAACTTGTTCGGTATTTGTTGTTGAGCTTTCACACTTGGGCCGGACAGCCCCCACTCTGTTTCACATTTGGGCTGGGTAAACCCCCAATTGTCTGTCACATCTGGGCTGGATAGCCCCCAGGGTTTTCGTTACTTTCACTTAGCTCAAAGATGTTGAGGTCTGGGAGAAGAGGGGTTGATTCTTTCCATTTGGGCTGGACAGCCTAAGGTTTCTGAAAAACGTTGGTTCTGTCAATTATGGGCTGGACAGCCCAAAGGTTTTAGAACAGGCACTGGTTCTGTCCGTTTGGGCTGGACAGCCCCAGGCTTTCAGAAGACAAGTTGTTCTTTTTCCATCTGGGCTGGATAGCCCCACACCTGGGCTGGACAGCCTTATTGAAATCCAAGGACTGACCTCTTCTGGGAGGAGCAGAGGGTTGGCTTCGGAGTGCTCCTACTGGTCCTACCTGCCCAAGGGGAGTGAAATCCGGCAAAGTAGTGGTCTGAAGGGCTGTATGCGAACTGCATGCAGGAACTTCAGGGGTGCAAAGGCCAGGGATGGACTCAAAGAGGTCTTACAAGAGTGGTGGCTACCTGGACTGAAAGGTGGGTTCTCCCTGGCAGCACAGCAGGGTACAAATCCCTGAACCAAAACCTCTTCCACCAGAGCTGAAACATATGCTTTGCTGCTTGGTGCTTGGGCTGGACAGCCCCAGGTTTTCACAGTTGAGCTTTCACACTTGGGCTGGATAGCCCCCACTGTGTTTCACATTTGGGCTGGGTATAGCCCTTTGACATATGGGCTGGATAGGTAACAGAGTTTGAAGTTACTTTCACTTGGGTCAAGGATGTTGAGGTGTGGGCTGGAGAGCCCCTTTGGTTTCACATGTGGTCTGGACAGCCCAAAGTTTCAGAGGGTTGTTTCTTTCCATCTGGGCTGGACAGCCCAAGGTTTTAGGAAAAGGGGTTTGCTTTCAGGGTTTCAAAAGAGGGGTTGATTCTAAATGAAAAAGTGGTGGTTCTTTCCATGGGCTGGACAGCCCAGGGTTTCAGAAGAGGGGTTGATTGCTCCCACCTGGACAGCCCAGGGTGTTAGAAGGGCTTGATTCTTTCCATCTGGGCTGGACACCCCAAGGGTTTACTAGTGACTAGTGATTCTTTCCATATGGGCTGGACAGCCTCAAGGTTTGAAAAAAGAAACAAAAACACAATAAATCATATGATATCACCTGAAGTCCCCTGAAGCCCCCTGAAGGCCCATGAAGGCCCATGAAAGCCCATGAAGGCCCCTGAAGGCCCCTGAAATCACATGATATCACCTGAGCATCCCTGAAAGGGAGAAATTTGGAAAATATTTTTCAACATGGTGTGTCAATTGGGTTTGGGTAGTTTTGACCATGCCAGAAGCATTTGGCACAAAAACAGCAATAGTTCAAAGAACTCCCAGCCGCCAGTGGGTACAATGAAGAGGCCTGCCACTAAAAGGCCTGCAGCCAAGGTTGGTGGGGATGGTGAACCTTCAGGTGAACCTTCAGGTACTGTGTCCTTGACAGCTGAAGCTGTCAAGGACCACAACAAGTTTTGCGAGGAAGCTCAGAGCATGACTGTGGAACAGTTTGAGCTCGCACTCAACAAGCTGGACAGCAAGGCTTCAATGAGGCTGTGGAAAGCCTTTGAAACCAGCAAGAAGATGTCAGGAGAGGAGGAAAAGTACAAAGAAGCAACCAAAGAAGGTGTGGGTGCTCTGAGGAAGAAAAGAAAGCTGCTCTTTGGCTGGGTGGTGGATGGAAAAAAAACAGGAGACAGCTTCAAGGAATGCTTGGAGCAAGTGAGCCTTGTCAAGGCACAGACTGTCCTCAGCACATGGCTGACACAAGCCCAAGCAGTGAACCACTGGGGTGAAGAAGAGTTGAGGGAGAGAGTGAAAGGAGGCACTGTCATTGCCAAGAGGGACCCTGCTGATCGCAGGTATTGGCTGTTCAAAGCCAACACCCAAATGGAGAAGACTGAGGTTGCAAGGCACAAGATGAGTGGGGCCACCTACAAGGCCAAAGCTGACAAGCAAAGTGTGATGGACATGATGTCAGCTGAAAAGCTGGAGCTGCTGGGTGAAGAGGACTTCCTCATAGGCGCAATGTCAGAGGAGGAAGGCTCTGAGGATGGGGATGGAAACTTGCCAGCAGACTTGGCTAAGGCCCTCGGTGAGAAGATTCCAAAGGACAAGCCCAGAGACAAGGGGCCAAAAGAAGACAAATGGGAGTGCATGAGCCAAGTGCCACATGGAGAAAGCAACCAAAAGGTTGCAAACAGACTGATGGCCTTTAAGACAGAGCTGACCAAGGACCTTGCCAGCTTGGAGGCTTTGTTGCACAGTGGCAAGGGCACACTGCCAAAGCCTTTGGTCAAGGATGCTGAGAAGGCTGTCCAAGCAGGGCATGATAACCTGGGCAAGGTGGCCAAGGCTCTGAAGGGGCCAGGAAAGAAGGGTGCAGTGGCAGCTGTCTTGCAGGATGCTTTGGCTGCTTTGAAGGGCTGTAAGTCCAAGAAGCTCCAGCTGGCTAAGGCACTGAAAGCTGACTAGGAGGGCTGGATAGCCTAGCAAGGAGGGAAGCCCAAAGACTTTAGACAAGGAGTTGTTGGTGTGATTTGGGGCTGCCCTCCAAGCTTAGTGCCTGGGAACCATGAGAGTTTTTGAGAAAAAGGCCGCATGTATGGGCTGGATAGCACCAATAATCTCATGGGCTCTCACTTGCTTTTGGGCTGGATAGCCCCTTCACTTGCTTTTGTGCTGGGTGGCCCCAATAATTTCTTGGTGGCTCTCACTTGCTTCTGGGCTGGATAGCCCCTTCACTTGCTTTTGTGCTGGGTGGCCCTGATAATTTCTTGGAGGCTCTCACTTGCTTCTGGGCTGGATGGCCCCTTCGCAAGCTTTTGTGCTGGGTGGCCCTGATAATTTCTTGGGGGCTCTCACTTGCTTCTGGGCTGGATAGCCCCCTCACTTGTTATCCAGCTTCACACACATCTCAATTGCTTTTTGGGCTGAAAGCTTTTCAATGAACAAGCAAGATCATCATGCCAGCAGCAAGGCCTCTCAAGGGATGGCAAACCCTTGCCCACTCTGGGGTGTGTTGCTCAGGAAATTTGCCATAGGCAAAATTTCCGCAGCAGAACTGCAAGAGATATCCAGTGCAGCAGTGAAGTCTGGAGCCAACTCACAAGAGATGCTCGGGCTGCAAAGCTTGGGCACCATGGGGCAAGTGAAAGGCAATTGCCACAGAGACTTATGCAGGAAACACTTCGGTGCCTTATTGTCCCCTCAGCCTTGGAAGATTCCTTGCCTCCTGCAGCAAAAGGAAGAGGGACAACAAACCAGCAAGATTTCAGATTGCTGGCTGTTACTGCCTCACATGTGGACAGTGGCATTGGAAGAGAATGACCTTCTGCCTGCCTTGACATGCCAGGATGAGGAGCTTGTCGTCTTCTGGAAAAGCCAAAAGAGCAGCCCACAAATGACCAGTGCATTGTGGAAGGAGCTGGATTTCAAGCATCCTTCTCGGCTCCCCATCCCTTGGCTGCTGCATGGGGACAGTGCGCCATACACTGAAGCAGACAGCCTGCAGGTGGTATCTATGAGGCCTTGCGCTTTGAAATTAAGTAGGCTGGGTACCCCTGCATTTGTATGGAAGCTTGCTCTTGGGTCAACTGTCACATGGGCTGGATAGCCCCTTTACCTAGCTTCTTGGGCTGGATAGCCTTTTCAAATTAGGCTGGATAGCACCAACAATCTCCCACTCTCCAACTGACAGGTGCATGCTCTCCAAAAGAAGTGTGTCAGAATCCCAGCTCCTGTTGGGAGCTGTGCCCAAATCAGCAGGAACCAAGGAAGGCTGGTGCACCTTGATGGAGGAGCTGGCCTGGAGCTTCAAGGTCATGTACCAAGGGGCCTGCCCCAAGAAAGACAAAAGGGGGGGGGAGCATGGATGCTCAGAAAGGGAGAAGGTTCAGGCCAGGTTGGCTGTGGGGTATCACAGGCGATTTGGAATGGTTCGCATCTGAATTTCAATTTCCATTTCCTGGCAACAATTATATTTGCCCTTACTGCCTGGCAGACCAGAAGCTCAAGGATTCCACAAGGCCTTTTAATGATTTCAGGCCATCTGCAGCTTGGAGGGCTTCAGCTCTGACCCCAGCCAAGCTTCAAGAGGAATATGGGGCGCATCCCTTGCTCAAGCTGCCAACTGCCAATGCATTGGCTGTCAAACTAGATGTGTTGCATGTGCTTGACCTGGGGGTTGCAGCATATTTGCACATGGGTCTGTTCTCATTTCAGTGATGAACCAGCTGGGTGGGAGGACCAGAATCTTGATTGAAGTTTATGGGCTGTTTTGACTGGGCTGGACAGCCCTAAAGGGTAGAATCATGCATGGGCTGGAAAGCCCCATCACCTGACTTGTCTGGCAAACACTTCCAAGCAAGGAGAGGCAAACCTGCAAGCCTTGAACAAGTTGCTGGTGAGGCTTTATACAGAGCTGGAGGTCGAAGCTTTCAAGAGGATGAAGCACCTCAAGTTGACAGACCTGCAACCTACAACAGAAGAGTTCCCTTGCCTCAGGCATGTCAAAGGAGCCAAAATCAGGGCCTTTGCCCCTGTGTGCCTAGAGCTTTGCAGGCTCTACAAAGACAGCAGGGTTGATAAACACAGGCTAGCCATGGTTTCCAGCTTGAACCAGCTCTACACCTTGATGGGAGAGCACAGCTGGCAAAAATGGGGCGCAAAGCAGGGGGAGCAGTTTTTGGCAGCCACCAACACCTTGCTGTCCCACTATTCCTTTCTGGCTAGGGCTGCAATGGATGCAGGTGAGTACATGTACAGCTTGACGCAAA